TCTCTTTGCCTTTCAAAATATCCATCAACAACACACTCACTGAAACACACATATATATTAATACTCTGGATACTCTTTTCCCTCATCATACTATACTTCCCAAATCTAACTTTACTATCTTTGCACACCTCCTGATCAAATCTAATGCATACTATAATACTTCCTTTCCTACTTTAACCTCAATCTCAATACACTCACAGCAACTACTACACAATAACCAAACTTCTATTTTACCTACTAACCCTCTTCTATCTGACCTTATACTAAATGTTGCTACTCACAATGTAAGAGGCTACAATACTCTTACTAAACAACAACTATGGAAATCATATTGTATTCAAAATGATCTCAACATAATCAGTATTACTGAAACCAAACTAGCTAACCTCCCTACAGTCAAATTCCTTAATACACCTCAATTCAAGTACTTCTGGTAAAACTCTTCAACTTCTAAGGAAGGAACAGACATAATGGTCAGAAACTACTTACAGCCCTATATCTACAACATACTTTGCCATCCTGGTAGAGCAATTGCTCTGGACTTTTTCTTCAAAAATGACCATAAATTCAGAATTATCTCAATATATCTCTCCTCTACTGAGTCAAATACACAAAACTCCACACAAAACAAAGTCATTTCATGGATTCAACAGGCTCAATCTCTAAACCTCTATCTAATCATCCTTGGTGATTTTAATGCTTCTACACAACTTGAAATCCCCTCATCATCTAAATTTAAACTTATCTCTTACCTTCACAGCTCTAATATGTATGACCTTGTTAGCTATACTAACAACCTCAGTCATACCTGGTCTAATGGCAGTCAAAGCAGCAGAATTGACTATATTTGGACTCAGGACTCACTAATCCCCTATCTTAATAATTTTCAACTCGACTTCTCTTCATCCTCTACAAATAGTGATCACATGATACTTACTTTATCCTGGTCTTTTCCTACGGCCTTCACTTCAACACGTCACAAATCTTGTACTAAACGCCAAGTATTTGACTACAAACAAATGAACAAAGAAAAACGTATAGCAGTATTCAATGATAGCGCATAAAAAAAAGTGTTGAAAAAAACATCTAATGTGTTGCAGAATGAGGATTTAGTAAGGACAGCTAGATTCAATATTAGTAATGAATCAATTAATATTGATAGTGCTAATGGTACTGAAGAACAAGACCAAATAATGCATGAACATATTCAAGATGTTCAAAGTTAAGATCAAGGTAAATATATATATGTTTATTGACTTTTTATTAAACATACTTTAAATTAGAGTGATAATATTAGGAATGAATGTCAATATAGTTAATGAGAATGTGGAGCAGTCAATTCAAGGTACTATATAGACGCAAATCATTAACTCTTCCTGTAGATCACTTGTATCAAAACTTCTCAAAAACATTTTGTTATAACTAAAAACTTTACTAAGTAAACAACTTTTAGACTTCTAAGCAAAATTGTTCTACACAAAATTTTGCTTTAGAATAGTCTAACTTTGTATCTCTCGG